TCAGTGGTAATAGCACCATGGGGCAAGTCTTAGTGCTGTGATATGTTACTTATCTGATTTTACCTAACTACCAGCAGGACCTACCCTCTACCATGTTTCTCCGAAAATAAGACAGGCTCTTATATTAATTTTTGCTCAAAAAAAAAAACGCATTTGGGCTTATTTTCAGGGGATGTTGTATTTTTTTTTCATGTATAGTAGTGCCTCGCTTGACTACGTTAATTCGTTCCAGCGAAATCGCTGTAGAGCAAAAGTCCTCAAACGAAATTAAAAAACCCATTGAAACGCACTGAAAACCGCTCAATGCGTTCCAATGGGCTGAATACCTGCTCATCCAGCGAAGATCCTCCATATGGCGGCCATTTTCGGTGCCTGTAAAGCGAGGAATCTGTCCTAGAAAACAGTGGGGGGCCATTTTCTTCAGCCGGCGGCCATTTTGAAACCCAACTATCAGCTGTTTGCTGATCGTCGTAAAGCAAAAATTGGTTCCCGAAGCAGGGAACCGATCATCGCACAGCGAAAAAACCCCATTTAAAACATCATTTTGCAATCGCAAAAATGTCAACATAAAACGGATTCGTCACAGAGCGGGGTAATCGTCCAGCAGGGCATGACTGCACAACAGTCTACATTTATTCAAACACTCATGTCATCTTCTTCTGCTTGCTGCACAATTTTGGAGGGTGGGGCTCATTTTTGGGGTAGGGCTTATTTTACGAACATCCTGAAAATCACACTAGGGCTTATTTTCAGGTTAGGTCTTATTTTTAGGGAAACAGGGTAACAGGGAAAACATTTAACCAATGAGAAAGGTGAGACAACAAACCATAGTTAAAACAAGTCAATTTCAAAGCAACCATTTTCATTACATTGTTTCTCTCCCCCCATAGTAAACACAGATTCTGAGCCTGAAATTATGTTGCTGAGTGGAGTAAGTCACAGTAACGTAGGCCCATGAATTGATAGAGATTTGGTGAATCAACACTTCCATATGTTCACTGATTCCAATGAGCTTACTCTAGTTTCCACTTTATACACTAATGTAATTTACAAATAGAGTAGGTCAATTTGAATCAATATACTAATGTAATTCACAAACAGAGTAGGCCCATTTTAATCAATGGAACTTACGGAGGCCGAATCAACAAATCCTCGGTGATTCAATGGGTCTATTCTATTGACACTTACTGCACTGAGAAACAGGGTATCAGCCATTGTCATAAAATGGTAAAAGTACCGGAATGGGAAGGGAGGGAGGACCATGCTGTACAGTTCATCCTAATTTATGTACCACACCTAATCTAACAGATGCCATGACATTTGCACAACGGCACTATCCATCACCAACACCAGAGCAACAAACAAGTTATTGGAGCGAAATTCAAAGACACCCAAGACAACTTTAGCAATGAAAACTTTGACATATTGTACAAAGTCTACTTTTCTCAGTCATTATAGTGATTTTGCAAGTTGCAAGAAACAATAATCTCTGCAACAGTGCTAAAATTTCTAGGATCTGGATACTACAGAAGTTTTCATGCCAGACTAGTAAAAGTAGTTCCAAAGCATCACAATAATCATTTCTCTGAAGGGCTCTCTGTTCTATTTCTACTTTAGCAGTATATTTACTAGGAGAAATAATGCCTGGAAATCCCTTAACAAATTACAATAGGGATCTAACCTAAAGTGCTCTTCGATTTTATCCTTCACGTCTTTAATCTATGTTCAGCACTCTTAAAAGTGTGTTCAGAAGTAAACACAGCACTAAGGACTTTGTCACAGACTTACATATTCAGAAGTTATTGCAAACAGATTGTGACTGGCAAATATCACTCCTGAAAACTAAAACATTCATTTTTTTAAACCAGCAAACAGAAAAATCCACACATTAGAAATAGGTGAAATACTTCACTCATTTATCTCACTAGCTTCTCCTACACAAGGCATCTGATTTTGTAAAGTATTTACCTTCTTTTCATTTGAAAGGTCAAGCATTCCAATCAGTTATATACGAATAATTTCAGCCTGGTAAATATTGTTCAATAACACATAGACCAAGTATGTATCTTAATATCATTTATTTTAAATGACACGTGCAGGAACAATAAGAGGTTCTCAACAGACAAGCAGCATAATCCTATGAGGCTTATTCAAAAATAAGTCCCACTGAATTCAAATATAGTTCAAATCCATCTAGTAATATTAGTTACCACTTATTTAGAATTAAGCTTCACTGAACTTACAGGGTCTTGATTTCAAGTTATCATGCACAGGAACAAAACTATACAATTCAAAAACAATCCAGAATTCAATCTTCATCTTGTCACACAAATTCTTCCTTATTAATTACTTAGCCACCTTTGTACTAGTCTGCAAATGGAAAGGTTAACTAGGTTGTCAAATTGGTTTGGTTAAGGTCACATATTTCCTAAATTTCAAGAACAATATCACCAAAAAAGTTTGAAACACAAAAATGACACTTTGAAGGCTCATGAGCAGGATCTATAGTGGGGGCCATAGATCCAAGTGTACTAATCAACAAGTATACAGTACAAATGAAGGTAAACTACATAATCTGTATATGAGTGGAAAGGAATCTATTATAGTTCAGAATTATTCAAAACTATGTACTTATTTCCTTGTTTTATTTGTAGGCTACATTTCTCCTGTTGAGGGCATTAAATTCAGCATGAAGTTCATCTAGTGTTCATGCTTCTCCATGCACTTGCAGTCTCAAGATTAGACTACTGTAACACTCTCTACATGGGGCTTCCTTTGAAATTGATATGGAAGCTTCAAATGGTCCAGAATACAACGACCAGGTTACTAACTGGGTTGAAAAGATTCCACCATATTTCCCCCACTCTGGCCGACTTACACTGGTTACCTACCCGCTACCACATTGACTTCAAAGTTCTTACAATTACATATAAAGCCCTAAATGGTTTAGGACCTTGATACCTGGCAGATCACCTCCTCCCACCTAGATCTACCTGTATCACCAATTATAGCCAGGCTGGGGAGCTGAGGGGCCTAACCCTGAGAGAGGCCTGGAAGGAAAAAAATAAAAATTGGGCCTTCTTGGTGGTGGCCCCTCGCCTTTGGAACACACTGCCCACAGAGATTCGCCTGGCCTCTCGCTGGGAGCTTTCAAAAGTAAATCGAAGACCTGGTTCTTTTGGCAGGCCTTCCCACCAGCTAGTACTTAGCTCCTCCTCTCGTTTTTCCCATCTTGGATTTTCATATTTTTTGTTTTATTTTTGCCGTTTGTTTTAATCCTATCTATGTTGGATTGTAAACCACCCAGAGTGGATTTCTCCACATGGGCGGTATAAAAATCAAACAGACAGATAGTGAAATTGGGTGCCTTTTCACAATTGGAAGCAATGTATAATGTAACTGTGGCTCCATGGCAACCGATTGCCCATCTATTTGTTCAGTAACAGCAACTACATGACCGGGTGTCCAGCACTTCCTTAGAAGACAGACCACGGTTAAAAACTAAGCAGTCTGAATCAAGGAAAAAACCTAACCAAGAGCTTAGCCAACATCTATTTTTGGAAGTGTACTCATCAGATCATCACTTCAGAACTTAATTTCCCTTCTATTATCTATACAAAAAGACATTGCAGGCAGTGACTGTCATTCTTTGGGAAAGATTTTCAAAGGGAATACTGTATAGCTGTCTACAGACCTGCAACATTATGAAATGAATTTATATCAGTCTTTCCCCATGTTCATCTTGGCTTGTAACAACCTGCACAGCATTCCATTAACATGACCAAATCACCTTTATATTTACAGATTAAGATAAGGCCAGTAGCTTCATGCACTTGCATCACTTGGTAACATATTCTGAATATCCCATTCATTTAAGTTATGTCTTGATGCTCTATTATCTAGCAACTATGTAAGAGTAAAATTATGAGAAGAGGGGAAAGCATGGTGCACATTTCACTATGAACAGAGAATCAGTGGTGATAGTTACTTCATGTTAAATACTGTAATTTGTTTTTGAGCAAGTTGCCCCTCTTTGCCAAATATAAAGATTCAGCACAGTGTAGTAGTGGTTAGAATGTTTGACAAGGATCCAGAACACCTGGTTTGAAATCCCCACTTGGCTATAACATTAACTGAGGCCTATCACCCTCCCTCAGCTTGTCTTATTTCACAGAGTCATTATGAGAATGAAGGGGAAGGAATGCTAAGACTGAGTTTTGAATGAACAAATAATAATACACCACAACAAAGATCTTTAACTCAGATTAGTAACTTCCAGATAGGCAAGACCCTCCATTCTGCACATACAACTCCAATTTCACTCTGAAAGAAACAGGTTTGAGAAAATGTTACACCAATAACGTGCTCCATATCAAGCCTGACTTAGTCGGAGATGCTTGAAGTGAAGAACAAAATACTGTAGGACCTCTACTCCAAAGGTCACGTAGTACTCCATGAATTTTACCTCAACACTTGTTTCGCTGCTCCCAGGAATATATGCACATAGGCTGTTCTCTATCACACGCTCAGTTCTACTGCCATTTTTATTTATTCTGAAAATACTTCCTAGTTCAAAAGAGACGCTAAATACAGTACAAATGCGGTATAATGGTCAAAGGGCCCGACCAAGCCTGGAGAGACCCAGGCCCAACTTCTTCCGAGCCATGCAGCCCAGGCGATTCTGACCAAGGCATCTGCTCAGCCTATCCCACCTTGCAAGGCCGTTGTGAGGATAAAATGGACAGAGGGCGTTGCCCCTCCAATAAAGAGTCAGGTAAAGGCACCTACGACGACAAGAAGTCTGTATCGGTCTCTCGAGTTGGCACTTGGCAAGCGTCGTGACAGCGGCAAAAAAAACAGGCTAGTCCCGAGGCAGGGCCGCCGCCGCCGCCACCACCACCCCCGGTGGGTCTCCTCCGAGCCTCACGCTTTTAGGGGGAAAGCGGACAAGCGACCACACCAAACTGGGCTCAGGAAACCGCCAAGGCCTGGATACTCACCGCTTCACTACGCCCGTTTTTATTTTGATCTGCCGGATGCGCGGGTCGGCCATGGCACGCTGCCTCTGGAGGCGACGGAGAAAGCTGACGAGGAACCGGCACGAAACGCCCGAAGGACCAGGAGGCGAGAAAGGAAAAATAAAACTGCACGACCAACGCTTCACGCACTACACAAAGGCTCCTGCGCAGGCGCGAAAAACACCCCCCCCACACACACACACACACACACCGCACAACGAACCGTCTCACTTGGAACTCCGCCCCAAAATGGACTCTACCACTAAAGAAGGGAGGGGCATGGCAAGTGAAGGAATGGGGCGTGAAAAGGGGGGGAATTTCTCTCGCACACACACACACACACACACACCGCACACGAACCGTCTCACTCGGAACTCCGCCCCAAAGTGGACTCTACCACTAAAGAAGGGGGGGCCATAGCAAGTGAAGGAATAGGGCGTGAAAAGGGGGGGGGAGAATTTCTCTCACGCGCAGTTACTGTCCCGCTGCCTCGGGTCTCGTCCCGTAGGAGGAAGAGCCCGCCTTCCTTATGTCTCCCTTATGAACTGGCGGACTGTGTTCTATGGCAGAGATCACTGACCTCGTTGGTAATGCGTGCCTCGAACGTCTCCCACCAGTAAGGCAGCCTCTCATAGAAGGGCAACTCTGGGCGATGCAAACTACATCTTCCAGCACCTCTTTCTACCCACCAACCAGGCTATGGCTTCTGGGACTTGAAGTCCAAAAAAAAATCTGGAAAGCTGAAGGTTTTCCACCCCTGAACGTAGGAAAATGCCTTATTTCCTTCCTGCTCTCGTTGACTGTATCCCCAGGAGTATTATGGAATACTATTACCATATATTCCTTTTTAAAAAAAATATTGTAAAGTGATCCTGAAAATTAATTGTGAAAACAAATCTCATGTTGTATTCTAATAATCCAAGAGCACTTTTGCATCTTATATTACATTCTGGGTTTTCAATAAGGTAGCTGTTTTAGTCTGTTACATCACATATAGCAAAAATAAAAAAAGTTTGTGGTACTTAGAAAGTCGAATTGTGGGTACTACTGTACTTGGTCTGTTACATCACATATAGCAAAAATAAAAAGATTTGTGGTACTTAGAAAGTTGAATTGTGGGTACTACTTGGGATTAAATCTACATCTGTGTTCTTCCTGGTCCATTAAATGGCCAAATATTCTAGAACAGTCATTAGGGTATCTAGAAATAATCTCTTGGTTATTATCAGAACAAAGCTAAGTGAATTCTCCCAACACTAATTTGAAAAAAAACAGGCTAGTCCCGAGGCAGGGCCGCCGCCGCCGCCACCACCACCCCCGGTGGGTCTCCTCCGAGCCTCACGCTTTTAGGGGGAAAGCGGACAAGCGACCACACCAAACTGGGCTCAGGAAACCGCCAAGGCCTGGATACTCACCGCTTCACTACGCCCGTTTTTATTTTGATCTGCCGGATGCGCGGGTCGGCCATGGCACGCTGCCTCTGGAGGCGACGGAGAAAGCTGACGAGAAGCCGGCACGAAACGCCCGAAGGACCAGGAGGCGAGAAAGGAAAAATAAAACTGCACGACCAACGCTTCACGCACTACACAAAGGCTCCTGCGCAGGCGCGAAAAACACCCCCCCCACACACACACACACACACACCGCACAACGAACCGTCTCACTTGGAACTCCGCCCCAAAATGGACTCTACCACTAAAGAAGGGAGGGGCATGGCAAGTGAAGGAATGGGGCGTGAAAAGGGGGGGAATTTCTCTCGCGCGCAGTTACTGTCCCGCTGCCTCGGGTCTCGTCCCGTAGGAGGAAGAGCCCGCCTTCCTTATGTCTCCCTTATGAACTGGCGGACTGTGTTCTATGGCAGAGATCACTGACCTCGTTGGTAATGCGTGCCTCGAACGTCTCCCACCAGTAAGGCAGCCTCTCATAGAAGGGCAACTCTGGGCGATGCAAACTACATCTTCCAGCACCTCTTTCTACCCACCAACCAGGCTATGGCTTCTGGGACTTGAAGTCCAAAAAAAAAAAATCTGGAACGCTGAAATCTGAACGAAGGAAAATGCCTTATTTCCTTCCTGCTCTCGTTGACTGTATCCCCAGGAGTATTATGGAATACTATTACCATATATTCCTTTTTTTTAAACGCATTGTAAAGTGATCCTGAAAGAAAACAAATCTCATGTTGTATTCCAATAATCCAAGAGCACTTTTGTATCTTATATTACATTCTGGGTTTTCAATAAGATAGCTGTTTTAGTCTGTTACATCACATATAGCAAAAATAAAAAAAGTTTGTGGTACTTAGAAAGTCGAATTGTGGGTACTACTGTACTTGGTATTAAATCTACATCTGTGTTCTTCCTGGTCCATTAAATGGCCAAATATTCTAGAACAGTCATTAGGGTATCTAGAAATAATCTCTTGGTTATTATCAGAACAAAGCTAAGTGAATTCTCCGAACACTACTTTCCTTCTGCGTTGGAGTCTTCCCAGATTTCATTCTTCATTATAAGATCTAGTATTTCTTGTCAGGAGTTTATGTGAGAGCTTGACTCTAAAATTTTTTTTTCAGTTTTTCATACAGGTATTTGGCAGCATTAGCCTCTTTGAAGTTTCTGCCTTGTCTCTGCCCAGCTCGGTTGTGCTTTCTACCTCACACATTGCAAAGGGCACCAGCTGCCACTGACTTATCCCTTTAAGGCTTACAGTTCTAAAATGAACATGAAGAGACTTTAGACTCAAACAGTCTATTTTTTTTTCTTTTCTAGAATTCTGTGATCCACTAATCAGAAATAGGAGCAAAATTATGGTGGGAGTGAAATTATTTAATGAGCAATAGTGTTCAGCTTCCAAAGAGTTAGGGCCTGTCCAGACTGGCCATTTTCATGCAGGCTGGATTGGGCTATAAAGGGTTGGTTGAGGTTTAGGGGGAGGAGTGATGTGCCATTTGGTGTGCTCCTCCAGTCTAAACAGCCCAAGTGTATTTTTTAAATGTCTGCTAGATTATCACTGATGTGATGAATCACTTTATTTAAATAAAAATTATTATTATTTGCCTATCTGTGTACTGCCAGTTGAGAAACTGCCAGCAGCTGCACCTTATCTTTGATAGTATCTGGCAGACCAGCACAGCATTAACTTCTCCATGCCCAGAACTGCTGTACTATTGAAACTTGGATCTCACTTTGCAAATAAATTGACAACTGGCATGGTGTGGCTATTAGAGCATTCGACTGGAATTTAGGAGATCCAGATTCAAGTTGTCACTGAGCCATGTAACTCACTAAGTGACTTTAGGCCAATCACTCTTCTCTCAGCCTGATCTACCTCATGGGAATGTTGTGAGGATGCACGGGGAAAGAAGAAGCCAACATGCACTCCCTTGATCTCATCAGAGGAGGAGATACAGACTGTATAACAGTGCAATTCTAACTCAAATATGTGCTCACTGCAAGGACTCTGTAATAGGCAGAAACCTCTTCTGTACCGATAATCTCAGATCTGTTTGCAGGGGTATCCCCTGGGAGAATATCTCTGCTAGTGAAAATCTGTCAGCAAAAGAGCCAAAAACAGAGTAGAAAATAGGCAAGGTGAAGATGGAGACAATTTATGTCAGATTCAAACTACTCCAACTAGCAGAGAGTTAGAGTGAGATGAAAATAGCCCTCAGTAACTTCTAGCATTTATAGGTGGGAGGGGTTCTGGATTCAGCACAGATTCAACTGGTCCGGTGCTGGCTGAGCTGGTCCTCATCTATCTTGGCCAGTTAGGGTGCTTTAAATAAGTGGTTTGGATCCCAACCTTAGATCCCCAGTTGTGTTTGGTTTACAACTTGCAGAAATTCTGGCCAGTTCAGCTAATGGTGAAGGCTTCTGGGAGTTTTACCCCAAAAACAACTGAGTACCCAAAGTTGAGAACCACTGCTAGAAATGAATAATAAATTTGGGCTGTGCAGATAGTGAACATTTTGTTTGATTTATTCATTTTTGGCAGGAGCTTTCCAAACTTTCCTGCCAACCTAGCAGTTCGAAAGCATGTAAAAATGCGAGTCAATAAATAGGTACCATCTCGGTGGGAAGGTAATGGCATTCCATGTCTAGTCACACTGGCCACATGACCACGGAAATTGTCTTTGGACAAAGGCTGGCTCTATGGCTTGGAAACAGGGATGAGCACTGTGCCCTAGAGTCGGACACAACTGGACAAATTGTCAAGGGAACCTTTACCTACTTCCAAAATTTGTAAATTTCTTCATAACTTTGGCGGAACTTGAAATGTTGAAAACATGTGTCCATCCCTACTTGGAGCAATTTATAAAAACAGGGGGGAGCTGTGATCTGCCCTCATTTAGCTAAGGAAAGTGCTGAAAAAACTCAAGATGGAAACATGGTGAAATCTCAACTTACCTCTCTGTTAACCCTGCATCTGACAAAGAGATGAAGACAGGCACTTACAGTTGCATCAAGGTAACTGGAAACCTGTTATGAACTAGTATTTACTGAATCAACATATAGTGTGGGAAATTTACAGCTTGCCTGTAACCACAGCTATGGCCACTTGTATTGTGTAACAGAAGTTACGATGCAGGCATAAGGTTCCTGCCCTCACAAGCACCTTAAGTGCATTAGTTATGATAGGTTATTGTTGGGTCAGATATCCCATGTTTTATCAGTAACCATTTAATAAACAACAGCTTGATGTGGCCAGAACGTCACTGTGTGTGCAAAGCAGTATCTAAGGGAATCTGAAAGTGAATTAAAGCCACATGCCCTTTATGGCAACCGCTACTTCCTTGCTTCGTCATTCTTTTCCTTTCTTCTTCAAATACAGTGGGTTGGCTTCTTTCCTAGACTCCCATTCTTTTTGACTCCATCTTCTCTAAACAATATACCTCTTTTGCCCTTGTTCCTGCAACAGGCTCTCATATTCCCTATAAACCTGTGTTCCTTAGCCAATGTCCCAATGCCCGTGGGGCTTAGCAAGAAAGTGGAGGAGAAAAGCAAGGATCAAAGCGCTGCAGGATCCCCCTCCTTATTTTCATGTATAAGACGACCCTCAATTTTTAGTCTAAAGATTTTAGACAAAAGTATCATCCTATACACTGAAAATACCATATTTTGTTTCCCTTTGTTCAGATACCTTGACTGAAATCCAGTATTTGGGTGAATCTAGAGTAGGCCCATTGAATCAGTGGGGATTGGGTGAATCAACACCTATATAAATTCCACTGATTCAATAGGCCTACTCTTGTTATGACTTACTATTGGATTTTAGTCTTTGTCTGCCTTCCTTC